CTTCTAGATCAGCGGCTTAGCTGCAGCTTTGCACCACGTTGGGTCTCAGAAAGGGCATTTCGCATCCCCCGGAGGTGAAGACCCACTGGAGTCGATGCTACCATCAGTTTGCTCCTGCAGTATAAATACATATTCTACTTATGTGATTGTTTATTTTAAGGCCACAGTGGCGTTGAAGCGAGTCTAACGTTTGTCCTATTCTTCTGTGTATTACAGTCACTTGCCTGCCTCCCAGCAAACATTCCAACGTTGGCCTAACGTTGGGCCAACGTTTCCAGCAAACATTCCAAAGGTTGGGCCAAAGTTGCTCCAACGTTTTCCAGCAAACATTCCAACGTTGTGCCAACCCCTGGGCCCGTCGATACAAATTCATTTGCGCGCCTTTCTTCAAACAGGTAATTAAAAAAATAGATACAAAACAACAACAACAACAACCAAGGGTCCCAGACAGATTCCAGATGAAACTGCGCTAATTGCTGCCGAATGTTGAGCGCGGCTGGTAATGGATCCGCCCGTACGCCATCGTTAAAATGTTATCGCTGTATCGTTTTTTTTTCTATTTTAAATAAAAATAATGAAATTAAACGAGCAACACCGCACACTCCGTTACAGTTCATGTCGACCCTCCCTCCCTCCCTCCCCATTAAGTCGAGCACTTAGGCGCTCGTTCCGGGGAAGTTGGTCGATCGATAGAGATTGAACTACGACCTCTGGCGCGGAGATCCGAGCCCCCTCCATATTGTGGTGGTGGGGGGGGGCTGGCGTGAATTCGCGAATTCCTTTCCCCCGGAGAGAAGGGCCGATCCTAAATTAATTTTTACAGAATGAGTCAAATGCCCTCTCGAGGGAGGAGGGAGGTGGAGGGCGAAGGAGGAAGGAGTGGGGAGAGAAGAGGTAGGAGGAGAGAGGAGTGGGGAGAGAAGAGGTAGGAGGAGAGAGGAGGAGGGAGGAGTGGGGAGAGAGGAGGTAGGAGGAGAGAGAAGGAGGAGGGGAGAGAGGAGGTAGGAGGAGAGAGGAGGGAGGAGTGGGGAGAGAAGAGGTAGGAGGAGAGAGGAGGAGAGAGGAGTGGGGAGAGAAGAGGTAGGAGGAGAGAGGAGGAGGGAGGAGGAAGGAGGAGAATGGAGGAGGGCGCAAAAGGAGAAAATGTGGGGAAATTAAAATGTTAATGTGCCTAGAAAATGCAACAATTTATCTTAGTGCTGCTGCTGCTGGGTTGACAGATGCAGCACTTGTCGTAGTTATAAAAAAGAGAGCGAGAGAGTGAGCGAAATGGAGTAGTAAGAGAGGGGGTAGAGAGAGAAGGGGGGCAGAGAGGGGGGTAGAGAGAGAGAGGGAAGGGGTAAGGAGAGCAGAAAAAAAAGCAAAAAATATTTTGTTGGGTCTTTCACTTAAAAGAGGGGGGGGGTTACATAAAGCAAAGCATACAAAAACTAAAAAAAACCCCGAAATGATGAACGAAGCAAAGTGCCGACTACACCGAGCATCTTTTTGTTTCCTCTGATCGTTAATAAAAAGGACAGAGGCGGTGCACAAGGACAGTCAACAAACAACAACAACAACAGCAGCAACATGCTCGTCCACAACAACACTGTGCGCGCTCGTGGCCTTACAGAGGGAACAGACAAATGCATAATCGGCGACGGTTCGGGCAATGGGCCTTCCTTTCCTCGAGCACACAAATCACACGGCACGCTGCAGATCGCAACATTGGTTGTCGGCCTCGTCTCCCGGCACCGGAACGTGGCGCAGCCAGCCCCTGCAGCGACTTTCTCGTGCCACTGCTGGCTGGTGTAAGAGCCCGCTCCACTGGACAGGCTCGCCGGTGTGGGTGGACCTCCCAAGGGGGTTGGTGATGAGCGCGCACGCCGTAAGGACCCTCACGGACTCGGAGTGAGAAGCTTCATTTAAGACTGCAGCAGCAGCAGCAGGAGGAGGAGGAGGAATCCGCTGAGCTGTGAAGCTCTTTAACTCACAGGGAGGGTTCAATATGGGGCACGGGGGGAAGAGTGACCGTGAGCTCGCTACGAGTGAGGCCCCTACCCCCTACCCCCCTACCCCCCTACTCCCCCCTACCCCCCTACCCCCCTACCCCCCCTACCCCCCTACCCCCCCTACCCCCCTACCCCCTCTTGTCGAGGGGGCTCAGGGCGAGCGCGAGGAGTGAGCGGTGATGGGGCCGGACGGCATCGTTCGCCATCAGCGCCCGCGTCACTCGGCCGCGTCTCACTGCTAGGGGTGCCAAGGTGGCTAGGAGAAGTTAGCCACCTCGCCCGGTCTGCAGGAGGCCGTGGATTCCATCCAGACCCTGACTCCTGCTGTCTAGTATTTGGAGTTTGCGTGTCTATCTCTCTCTCTCTCTTCCCGTGGTCGCGTGGATATTTCTCCGGGACCTCCGGCTTGTCGCCCCACATTTAGAATCGACATCACCACGCGTTTCGAGTTACCTGGCTGCCGCTATAAATGTCCACGTGACGATGATGACGATGATGATGACGATGATGACGACGATGATGACGATGATGATGACGATGATGACGATGATGATGATGAGCACACTTCGTTGAGCGATTCTTTGTGGCCAGATCGCCTCCGAAAAATCGCGACGGAGCTCAGTGGGTCGAACACCTGGTGAAATAAAATTAGTTTATCTCTCTCTCTCTCTCTGCGTGGCCGTGTGACATTTTCTCAGGGCCCTCCGGGTTTGAACCCTCCACATTCAGAATCAACATCACGCGTTTAGAGTAGTTGGCTAAAATACATTTCTAAGTGGCGATAAGCCACTTCGTTGAGCTAACCTTTGTGATGACCGGGTCACTTCTTAAAATAATCATCTATATAGCCCAGTGGGCCTAACCTGCTGAAACAATAAATACAATTTTAAATAGTTGAAATAGAGGGCCAACTAAGGCCTTCTCAGCACAGATGCGCTCGACAGGATATAGATGACAGGATATAGATGAGCACCACCACGTTGACACCTATGCCTGGCCACCTTTGTCTCACCCACACTACTAGAGCGGCAACAAAAGCGGCCTCCAGTTTGAGCAGCAGCAGGGGCAGCAGGAGCAGCAGTAGGAGCAGCAGTAGCGGCAGCAGTAGCAGCAGGAGCAGCAGCAAGAGCAGCAGCAGTAACAGCAGCAGTAGTAGCAGCAGCAGCAGTAGGAGCAGCAGGAGCAGTAGCAGCAGCAGTAGCAGTAGGAGCAGCAGTAGCAGCAGCAGCAGGAGCAGCAGCAGTAGCAGCAGCAGCAGTAGCAGCAGCAGCAGTAGGAGCAGCAGCAGCAGTAGGAGCAGCAGGAGCAGTAGCAGCAGCAGTAGCAGTAGGAGCAGCAGTAGCAGCAGCAGGAGCAGCAGCAGCAGCAGTAGCAGCAACAGCAGTAGCAGCAGCAGCAGTAGCAGCAGCAGGAGCAGCAGCAGTAGCAGCAGCAGCAGTAGGAGCAGTAGCAGGAGCAGTAGCAGCAGCAGTAGGAGCAGCAGCAGCAGTAGCAGCAGCAGTAGGAGCAGTAGCAGGAGCAGTAGCAGCAGCAGTAGGGGCAGCAGCAGCAGTAGCAGCAGCAGTAGGAGCAGCAGCAGCAGAGTCTCCAACTCGCTCTCGGAGCGAGCAGCAACCAGGGGGTCACCAGCGGGTCACCAGCGGGTCACCAGGCGCCCATGGTCATGCCATGGTGTAGCTATCTGCGAGCCATCCTTTGACCGGACCCCGGGCAGTCGATGAGCCTCCCATTGAATCTGCTGTACCAGATGGAAGTTCTACCGTTGCAGCTGCAGCTCCTTATCGAGCGGTGTGGTTTTCTGTTTAACATGAATACGTTGTATTTATTGATTGATCCTTATGCCGGTACCCTGGGGGTACCAAATAATGCAGAATGGCCGAGGCAATTAAAATATTTTATTTCTGGAACACTATTTCTATTTTTTTTCCAGGGGTGTACTTCACTCCGCGACTGGGGTAGCAATCAATCCGACATCGGTGCCACACCCCGCGATGTCGACACGCAGCGAGGACGATGGCGCCGAAACCCCGAACGCTCGCGGCACGCCCCGTGGTGGTGGTGGTGGTGGTGCATCGTGAGGACAGCTCGTCCAGATGAGTCGACTGCCACGTCGCCGACCATCAACAGGCTAAGAATGACCACGTCACGGACATTGCGCGAGAGCCGGGTCACCATGGTACAAAGACAAAGACCCCCCCCCCCCCCCCCCCCCGGTATAGCCTTAGCAGACTGTTGGGGCAAGTGCTGTCAGCGAGAACCCATGACGGCCGGCACGGCACACGAGGGAGTGGGTGGGTGTCCAGCATTACACCCGTGTATATACACACACATGTACGTCATATATAAATATACACACGCGCACGCGCCCTGCCGTGCCGCAGATGAAAACACCAAGTTGAAAGATCAACCAGAACACATTGCACGCACAGATAGAGGCATGTGCTGTGAAAACCCGACACGCTCAAAACAGCACACAAGATGCGGAGGGCAGATAGCGCGTAATGCATAGCGGAGCCCGCGTGCGAGATAGCGAATGAAACCAAGCCCCCCCTCTCCTCCCCCTACCCCCCCTCCCCAGCCCCCCAAGAGATAACAGTGCAGATGGAGTCACCAATTCATAGCCTCCACCATCACCCAACCCCTCCCCCCCCCCTACAATTGTTCCCCGCTTTTGATGCTCATTTTTATCAGCTAGGTACAGGTATCACCCCACCCTCACCCCCACCCACCCCCCCCCCAGATACAGGAGCAGAAAAGAAGAAATCAGCGGCAGCGCAAACCAAAAACAAAATTCGGCGCCAGGGAAAACGAGAGAGGAGGAAGCAAATAAACATCCGCGGAAGCTGCCGCGGTCGGTTTGAGGGCGGCTAACGCCATGGGGAGACGGGCGAGCGGTGTCAGAATCAGAATCTGTATTCATCCTGGAGGAATCCGATGAGCTATAAAGCTCTTGTTTTGCAGATGCCGGTTCTGGGGGGGGGGGAGCAGGTGGGAAAGGGGGTGGGGGATTCGACTCTGCCGGTGTTGGTGTTCATGTCATTATCCCCGGCCATAGGAATGTGGAATTACCACCGTTGAGTGCAGCCCCGTAAGTATTCACATATTTGTTGAACTTCTATCGCACCGTACGTAGCCAACCGTGTTAACCTGTGGGTCTCTGTCGGTGTCTCTGCGGGTCTCTATGAGTCAGGGTCTAGAGGTGACTCTGGAGGTGACTCCTCTAGAGATGACTCCTCTAGAGTTGACTCCTCTAGAGATGACTCCTCTACAGATGACTCCTCTTGAGGTGACTCCTCTACAGATGACTCCTCTAGAGGTGACTCCTCTAGAGGTGACTCCTCTTGAGGTGACTCCTCTACAGATGACTCCTCTAGAGATGACTCCTCTAGAGATGACTCCTCTAGAGATGACTCCTCTAGAGGTGACTCCTCTACAGATGACTCCTCTAGAGATGACTCCTCTAGAGATGACTCCTCTAGAGATGACTCCTCTACAGATGACTCCTCTTGAGGTGACTCCTCTACAAATGACTCCTCTAGAGGTGACTCCTCTAGAGATGACTCCTCTAGAGATGACTCCTCTAGAGGTGACTCCTCTAGAGGTGACTCCTCTAGAGGTGACTCCTCTCGAGGTGACTCTAGAGGTGACTCCTCTAGAGGTGACTCCTCTAGAGGTGGCTCCTCTAGAGATGACTCCTCTAGAGATGACTCCTCTAGAGATGACTCCTCTAGAGGTGACTCCTCTAGAGGTGACTCCTCTAGAGGTGACTTCTTTAGAGGTGACTCCTCTAGAGATGACTCCTCTAGAGGTGACTCCTCTAGAGGTGACTCCTCTAGAGGTGACTCCTCTAGAGGTGACTCCTCTACAGATGACTCCTCTAGAGGTGACTCCTCTAGAGGTGGCTCCTCTAGAGGTGGCTCCTCTAGAGGTGACTCCTCTAGAGGTGACTCCTTTAGAGGTGACTCCTCTAGAGGTGACTCCTCTAGAGGTGGCTTCTCTAGAGGTGACTCCTCTAGAGGTGACTCCTCTTGAGGTGACTCTAGAGGTGGCTCCTCTAGAGGTGACTCCTCTAGAGGTGACTCCTCTTGAGGTGACTCTAGAGGTGACTCCTCTAGAGGTGACTCCTCTAGAGATGACTCCTCTAGAGATGGCTCCTCTAGAGGTGACTCTTCTAGAGGTGACTTCTCTAGAGGTGACTCCTCTAGAGGTGACTCCTTTAGAGGTGACTCCTCTAGAGGTGACTCCTTTAGAGGTGACTCCTCTAGAGATGACTCCTCTAGAGGTGACTCCTCTAGAGGTGACTCCTCTAGAGGTGACTCCTCTAGAGGTGACTCCTCTACAGATGACTCCTCTAGAGGTGACTCCTCTAGAGGTGACTCCTCTAGAGGTGGCTCCTCTAGAGGTGGCTCCTCTAGAGGTGACTCCTCTACAGATGACTCCTCTAGAGATGACTCCTCTAGAGATGACTCCTCTAGAGATGACTCCTCTACAGATTACTCCTCTTGAGGTGACTCCTCTACAGATGACTCCTCTAGAGGTGACTCCTCTAGAGGTGACTCCTCTAGAGGTGACTCCGCTAGAGGTGACTCCTCTAGAGGTGACTCCTTTAGAGGTGACTCTAGAGGTGACTCCTCTAGAGGTGACTCCTCTAGAGGTGACTCCTCTAGAGGTGACTTCTCTAGAGGTGACTCCTCTAGAGGTGACTCCTTTAGAGGTGACTCCTTTAGAGGTGACTCTAGAGGTGACTCCTCTAGAGGTGACTTCTCTAGAGGTGACTCCTCTAGAGGTGACTCTAGAGGTGACTCCTCTAGAAGTGACTCCTCTAGAGGTGACTTCTCTAGAGGTGACTCCTCTACAGATGACTCCTCTAGAGGTGACTCCTCTAGAGGTGACTCTGGAGGTGATTCCTCTACAGATGACTCCTCTAGAGGTGACTCCTTTAGAGGTGACTCCTCTAGAGATGACTCCTCTAGAGGTGACTCCTCTAGAGGTGACTCCTCTAGAGGTGACTCCTCTAGAGGTGACTCCTCTAGAGGTGGCTCCTCTAGAGGTGGCTCCTCTAGAGGTGACTCCTCTAGAGGTGACTCCTTTAGAGGTGACTCCTCTAGAGGTGACTCCTCTTGCGGTGACTCTAGAGGTGGCTCCTCTAGAGGTGACTCCTCTAGAGGTGACTCCTCTTGAGGTGACTCTAGAGGTGACTCCTCTAGAGGTGACTCCTCTAGAGATGACTCCTCTAGAGATGGCTCCTCTAGAGGTGACTCTTCTAGAGGTGACTTCTCTAGAGGTGACTCCTCTAGAGGTGACTCCTTTAGAGGTGACTCCTCTAGAGGTGACTCCTTTAGAGGTGACTCCTCTAGAGATGACTCCTTTAGAGGTGACTCCTCTAGAGGTGACTCCTCTAGAGTTGACTCCTCTAGAGGTGACTCCCCTACAGATGACTCCTCTAGAGGTGACTCCTCTAGAGGTGACTCCTCTAGAGGTGGCTCCTCTAGAGGTGGCTCCTCTAGAGGTGACTCCTCTACAGATGACTCCTCTAGAGATGACTCCTCTAGAGATGACTCCTCTAGAGATGACTCCTCTACAGATTACTCCTCTTGAGGTGACTCCTCTACAGATGACTCCTCTAGAGGTGACTCCTCTAGAGGTGACTCCTCTAGAGGTGACTCCTCTAGAGGTTACTCCTCTAGAGGTGACTCCTTTAGAGGTGACTCTAGAGGTGACTCCTCTAGAGGTGACTCCTCTAGAGGTGACTTCTCTAGAGGTGACTCCTCTAGAGGTGACTCCTTTAGAGGTGACTCCTTTAGAGGTGACTCTAGAGGTGATTCCTCTAGAGGTGACTTCTCTAGAGGTGACTCCTCTAGAGGTGACTCTAGAGGTGACTCCTCTAGAGGTGACTCCTCTAGAGGTGACTTCTCTAGAGGTGACTCCTCTACAGATGACTCCTCTAGAGGTGACTCCTCTAGAGGTGACTCTGGAGGTGACTCCTCTACAGATGACTCCTCTAGAGGTGACTCCTCTAGAGGTGACTCTGGAGGTGACTCTGGAGGTGACTCCTCTACAGATGACTCCTCTAGAGGTGACTCTGGAGGTGACTCCTCTAGAGGTGACTCCTCATGAGGAGTCACCTCTAGAGGCAGGTCCACCCACAGTGGTCAGAGTCCACCCACAGTGGGAGAGAGGGAGAGAGACGCAAACTCCAAATCTAGAGCAGGTGTCAGGGTCGGGATCGATCCCAGGCCCTCCGGCATACCAGGCGAGGTGGTTAACATCTCCTAGCCACAGTGGCACCACAAATTTGGTCATCATCATCATCATCCAGTGTCCACCACCATCATCCAGTGTCCACCACCATCATCCAGTGTCCACCACCATCATCCAGTGTCCACCACCATCATCCAGTGTCCACCACCATCATCCAGTGTCCACCACCACCATCATCCAGTGTCCACCACCATCATCCAGTGTCCACCACCATCATCCGGTGTCCACCACCATCATCCGGTGTCCACCATCATCATCATCATCCGGTGTCCACCACCACCATCACCACCACCAGCTGCTGCTGCTGTTGCATTACGAGTGGTGTGGGTGGTGCGGTTTAGGGGTTGCGGCCCCAGAAGTTTAAGGGCGCGAAGATCGAAGCCCTCCACCCCCCCCCCCCCCCCCCCCCCACCTTTCTGCGCCGCCCGATCATTCGAAGGGAAGGGGGAAGGGGGGCTTGCGCGAGACGTCCTCGATGATGAGATTCTCCGATCGATCCGCTGCTAACTCACGTTAACCGAGCGAGCCACACGTTGACCGAATAGCCCCCGTCTCGCTGAGTAGACGTCCTTCCATCATTTGCGTGTTCTCGTGCAATCGTTCGCGTGGTCGCGGCAAACAAAAAAATATACAAAAAGCAACAAAATCAAACCAAGGGGGGCAGTTGGGGGGTGGAGGGCAGTGGTGGTGGTGGTGGGGGGGAGTGGTGGGGGTGCAAGTGCTGTGTAGCGAGTAGCATCTATGGAGGCCGGCACGGCACACGCTGGCGGTGGATGGCCAGCACCACCCTGGGCCACTCACCAACCCGCACCGCTTCAGATGAGGATAATTACATTCTGTTGGTCTCGCGTGCGGGAATTGAACTCTGGGCACAGGCCTTGGGCTCCGTGACGCGGCGCGCTCGCCGCTGCGGCACCCCCACACCAACGTGGCGAGGCAGGGCGGAGGGGACGGCGTGGTCGGGGCTCTGCGGAGCGAACGGAGCGGGGCTCCCTCCTCCTCGCCCGCGAGAAGGGAGAGCGGAGGAGAGCGAGCGAGCGCGTCCGGTCACGGGCTGATGAGTCGATGGCAAGGGGCCCCCTTGGGAACGCACGCGCATGGCGCACGCACGGAGCCGATGGTAAAGGGGCCGGAAATCTCTCAACGAGTGCTGCGTCTCCACTCGCTCACACGGCGCCAGCGTCCACCCGCTGTGGGCAGTGCCCATCACCTTAGCGTCTACACATTATCTGCTCCACAGACAATCATCGTGCGGTTTATTGTATTTTCCACATGCTTGTCCACGTCTCGTGTATGTATATATATAGACCGCAGCGTGTTTTGTTGGAAAAAAAAACCCTCCAGGATGTTTCTCTTTATCTGACCACCTTGCTTAAACATCATTGTTCTCACAGAAAGCTACCGGCGGGAGCTTGCTATCAGACACAGTTGCGATGTTCATACGAACGGAATCAAGAAAATCGTCGTTAGCAGTGGCCATCATCGACCGTACCCATAAGAAATAATTTTATAGGGAGGCGGAATTGCTCAAGAAACCAAACTTTCACCCAACCCAATAAACCCTCTTCAAAACAATTAACAAGTTGTCTTGAAAGTAAAATATATATACATGTACGTGATACGTGACGTTTCGGGCAATGACCCTTCGTCATAAGCACACTACACACACACGTCACGTGCGCCGCCAATCCGGCCCCTTTAATTGGTGCTCGCAAAGCGACGTCACAAGTAAGAGGACTCCTGCGGAAGTGCAGGGGAGCCGGTTCGATCGCTGCTCGACAGTGGCGTGAGAGGGGGGTTAGTGGGGGGGGGGGTTAGTGGAGGGGATTTAGTGGGGGGGGGGGGAATTAGTGGGGGGGGATTTAGTGGACAGGGGGGGGGGCAGCCACCCCGATCTCCCACGCGACGTCCCCCCCAGTGGCTTTCAGGCGTGGGTTGATTCTGGCTCTCAAATATTTGGATTCCGAAGTGCGCGGTGCGTCTTGGGAGGCACTTAGCAGCTCCATAGTGCAGCGAGATGGTCTCGCTCTCTCTCGCTCTCTCTCTCGCTCTCTCTCTCTCGCTCACTTTCTCTCTCCCTGGGTCTCTCTCTCTCTCTAGCTCTCTCTCTCGCTCACTTTCTCTCTCTCGCTCTCTCCCTGGGTCTCTCTCTCTCTAGCCCTCTCTCTCTTTATTTACGATCAGAGGAAACAAAAAGATGCTCGGTGTAGTCGGCACTTTGCTCCGTTCATCATTTCGTTTTTTTTGTTTTTGTATGCTTTGCTTTATGTAACCCCTCCCCCTTTTAAATGAAAGACCAAACAAAATATTTGTTTTCTTTTTTTGCTCTCCTTACCCCTTCCCTCTCTCTCTACCCCCCTCCTCTGCCCCCCCTCTCTCTCTGCCCCCTCTCTTCCTACTTCATTTGGCTCTCTCTCGCTCTCTCTTTTTTTATATAACTACGACAAGTGCTGCACCTGCACGCAACCCTTCCCACAGTCAAACGGCCTCCGACGGGTAGCTTAGATCTGCATGCAGAGCTCTCTACCGTCATCTGCCACCGAGCACACGGCCTCCTCCAGCGCCCACTGCTCCTTGAACGGCCGGTACGGCGTGGGTCAGCCGCGCGTGGCGGAACTCCGGCCACACCCTGGCTCCGACCAGAGCACGGAAGATGCCCAGGCTGCTGGCCGAACGTTGCCCCTCCAGGGCCACCTTCCTCGCCCTGTATATGGCGAGCTTGGCATAGCCGACGAGCACGTTGACCAGCCCCTGAAGATGTTGGGGTCCGTTTCCCTTCGGGTATCCAAAGATGAGGACCGTCGGGGAGAAGTGGAGGCTGAACCTTAGGAGGATGTTTCTCAGGACCTTGAACAGCGAGTCCAGGCTCTTGCACTCCACGTATTGGTGCGCCACCGTCTCCACTTTACCACAGGACCGGCACTCCGGGGACATCATCGGTGAAGCGCGCCAGGGAGACGTTGGTGGTGACGGTGCCGTGGGCGATGCTCCAGCTGAGGTCGCCGATGTGGTTGTACGTCGGGCTGGAGTGGAGTTGCCTCCAGCGAGGCCTCTCCGGAGAGATTCAGGGCTAGGGCTTTCCTCCAGGCATGGTCCTTGTGGCTCCTCAGGGTGTCCTGTTGGTGGAACCGGACCATGTAGGAGTAGAGCACCTTCCTCTTTACATTTGCGAAGGCCACCTCCGGTAGGTCTTCCAGCCGGCACAGGTTGTGATCCGCCTTCGTTTGTCGGCATTGGCGATGCAGTGGCACGACTGAGAGCTCCGGTGGAGGGGGACCGAGAGGGGCCTCGTCATCCCCAACGCCGATGGGGGGCGTTCTCCCCGCTGCCGCTGAGAAGGCCCCTTGGCTTCGGCCAGGATCCGGGCAGCCACCCGGAGCGACTGCAGCCCCCCTGTCTTTGCGGTCATGTCTGCTGGTCCGAGCCACCGGCCCCGTGTTCCAGGCTCCACCAGATCTCCCATCCTGGTGAGACGCGCGTTGGCGAGGCGCCTCTCCATGCCTGGGGAGGCGGATATCAGCTTTGTCTGTGGGTTCCTGAGGATCGGTTCGAAGACCAGATCCTCGGCCGATCGCGGCTGGTTCAGCCTCCTGACGGCGAGGGAGCTCCATGTCTGCAGGACGCTCCTGTAAAAAGGTGGCAGCTGTCCCAGTGGGAGGCCCTGCAGGTCCATGTAGATAGTTGTTTGGAGCACTGCAGACCCCCCCAGCTGTTTCAGGAGGACCTCTCTCTCTCTCAGGATGACACGCAAATTCGTGAAGCGTTCTCTCAGGCTCTGTCTCTCTCTCGCTCGATCTCTTTTGATCTCTCTCGATCTCTCTCTCTCTCTCGCTCTCTCTCTCTCGCTCTCTCTCTCTCTCTCTCTGAGGCTCTCTCTCGATCTCTCTCTCTCTCTCTCGATATCTCTCTCTCAGGCTCTCTTTCTCTGAGGCTCTCTCTCTCGCTCTCTCTCTCTCGCTCTCTCTCTCTCGCTCTCTCTCTCTCGATCTCTCTCTCGATCTCTCTCTCTCGATCTCTCTCGATCTCTCTCCCTGGGTCTCTCTCTCTCTCAGCCTCGCCAACTTCGCCTGTGCTCAGGCGAAAATGGCGGTGTACAGAACGAGAAAAAAGATGCTGGAAGGTGACACTGACGGCTGCTCCGTGCTTCCAGTGTTCAGAGGCCTGCTTAAGGCGCGGCTCCGGCTGGAGCACGCCACGTACCACACACACGTGTCGGTGATGTGCAGCGCGTCTTCTTCGAACGCTGGGGAGCCGGACAAGCCCCTCTCTGTACCAGCGTGGACGGAACCCCACGTGTTCACCTTCTGAAGCGCTCGCTCGTCAGCGTGGCGTGCGCGATGACCACCACCACCACGTGACTTTTCTTTTGTGTTGTGCGCGGTGTTTTTAATGCCATAGCGCGTGGATTTGTAACGTTTATTTCCATTTGTGTTGCTGGTGATTTTGTGTATTTCGTATTGAAATCGCCTCCAGTGCTTTTGCTGCTGGCGGCAATAAAAGTTGTTTAAAAGGTTAAGTCTCTCGATCTCTCTCACGCTCTCTTTCCCTGAGTCTCTTTCTCGCTCTCTCTCTCTCAGGCCCTCCTCCCTCGCTCTCTCTCACTCTCGCTCTCTCTCTCTCTATCGCTCTCTGCCACATACCCTCTCACTTTCATATTTCAAGGCACATTTGTTTTTATCGGGGTCTTTTTTTGAGTAGAGTTGAAATCTCCGATTATAATAATTGGGATATTTTTTCGCTCTCATTCATGGATCTATGTTCCTATATTTATATATCTACGTGGCATTAGATATGCAAATTGCATCTTCACTAACTTCTAAACGCCCGAGTAGAATTTGGAATGACGCGGCGTACGTTTTTTTTAGTCTACAAGGACGCGTGGAAGGGAGCGGCACAGACACCCGATTCAGGATCAGGATCTCGATGTATTGCTGGCGGAGGAATCCGATGAGCTATGAAGCTCTTTTCCCACAGATGTCCTAGTTCGGCACACCGGTGTGCCGAACTAGTAACGAATTGGCACGTTTTGTTTACGTGACAACACCTTGCTTCATTAGTTGTGTCGGGTGGTGGCGGGTTTAATGACGCATTTATATTCACACGATCTCAGCCACAACCCTCTTTTATGGAAACTGAACTTTTTTTTCGTACCATTTAAAGCCCACTGAGCTATTAGCTTCTTTTATCAGAAGCGACTTCGCTATCACAAATGATAAGGCCAACGGAGGGGCTTATCCTCACGTGGAAATGTATAGCAGCAACATCATCTAAAGCATGCAAACCTTTCTCAATGCGGAGGGGGCAAACTCAGGGAGGAACACAGCGAGGACCGTCGACAAAAATAACTGCCCGAGCTCTGCCGTCCTCGATCGTCAGTCCGACACATTTGTTGCCACGCACTCTTTCGAGCACAATCCATCACGGAAGGCGCGGTGACCCGTGGTTAAACTCTTGTTAGGAGTCACGGCGCGTTGGGGGTCACGGCGCGTTGGGGGTCACGGCGCGTTGGGGGTCACAGCGCGTTGGGGGTCACGGCGCGTTAGGGGTCACGGTGCTTTGGGGGTCACGGCGTGTTGGGGGTCACGGCGCGTTGGGGTCACGGCGCTTTGGGGGTCACGGTGCTTTGGGGGTCACGGTGCGTTGGGGGTCACGGTTACTTGGGGGTCACGGCGTGTTGGGGGTCACGATGCGTTGGGGGTCACGGCGCGTTGGGGGTCACGGTTACTTGGGGGTCACGGCGTGTTGGGGGTCACGGTGCTTTGGGGGTCACGGTTACTTGGGGGTCACGGCGCGTTGGGGGTCACGGTGCTTTGGGGGTCACGGTTACTTGGGGGTCACGGCGCGTTGGGGATCACGGCGCTTTGGGAGCCACGGCGCGTTGGGGGTCACGGTGCTTTGGGAGCCACGACGAATTGAGAGTCACGGCGCTTTAGAAGCACGGCGCCTCCCGGCCGGGAACGCGATCGCGATGGAGTCGTCGCCAACGTTCCGTTTGTCGATTTCCATCGCGCGCCGCCGTGTGCACGCCTCTGCCAGGCCCTCCACAGATGGCAGCGGAAGCCTCCGGGCGGGTTGCTTCGTCTCGCTCGTCTCGATATTTCACGACCCGCTTCGTGCGGGGCCCTCAGCATTTCTTGATTTTAAAAAATCATAACGCAAGGGCGGCCAATTTAAATCATTTCCTCCCCCCAATAACGCCCCGTAATC